TGGATCGTTTAGATCAAGCCCTTCATCATAAATGCCATTCACTCGTCAATGGGAAAGGTGTTCTTCGTCTCCACGACAATGCATGTTTACATGTGGTACGTTTGACGCAACACAAAATTATGGAGTTGGGTTGGGAAGTTCTCCCCTACCCACCCTATTCTCCAGATATGGCACCATCAGATTGCCATCTTTTGCGTTCGCTGCAACACCATCTTAATGGGAAAACGTATGCAAATGTGGAAGGTGTTAAAGAGAACGTCGACATGTTTTTTAGCTTCAAAGTCAAGTGATGGTAAAATGTAAAAGCATCTTCGATAAGAATGGAGACTACTTCATTTAATAAATGTTATATATATATATATATGTTGTTCGGGTTTTTTCATCTAAAAAAAGCGACATTAATTTTTTGACGACCTAATACTAACTATAAGGAGTTAATATACTAAATAAACAAATCTACAACTATTATTATTGAATCATCCTGTAAGTACACTTGTTATTAACAATAAAGTTGGACATAATCTCAAATAGTCTCAGTTAGCTTGGATCTTCTTAGAACATTTATATTAGTTCTAAATATATGCCCCCCAGTAACAAGCGGTATGTCTGCGGACTTACAACGCTAGAATCCGGGTTTCGATACCCGTGGTGAGCAGAGCACAGATAGCCCATTGTGTAGCTTTGTGATTAATTACAAACAATCACCTAATGTAAATAAATAAATATATATATATATACTAAGCCAACAGTGCAAAATGATTTTCATAAGTGTAATTGTAATTAAAATGTAATATCTTTCGAAAATATATTAGAAATTATAGCCAAAAAGGTTCAATGATACTAATTGTAAAAATGAAAACACAAGTTCTTAGTTCTTTGCTGTTTAGGTTTATTCACATAGCTTTCCAATCCCAAAACGCATTAGTATGATTATGGCTTAATGGTGAGTAATATGAGGAATGAACCTTCTCTTTGTAATTCTACTTGTTCTTATTTTTAATGCCCCCAATGGCTCAGCGTTAAATCTAAAGGCTTATGATGCGAAAAATCGGGTTTCGATACCCGTGGTGAGCAGAGCATTGTGTAAGCTTTGGGCTTAACAAAAAACAAACTTTTTTAATAATCTGAAAGTAGGTTTGAAATGCTTCCCACATATTTTACCGTCATATTCTGCTTGTTTTTCTACAGGACTATAATAGAATAGTGTTCTTGTGAGTCATGCAGATACATAGGTTGTTTCTATCAAACACAATGTTGTTGAATATTTGTAAATACAGTTGGAACAGACATGGTAAGGATGATTGGAAACCTCAGTGTAGCGGATTTTGATTCAAACGGCATGGCTGAAATGAGTGAACATTGACTGCAGGAATATAAAGGATCAGACTGTCAAATATGTTAGTTCTTCCTTGAAACTGGTCCATTTTCCCTGGAAGAGTCATAACCTGGTCATCTATATATATCTTCACACAGTTAAAACATATTCATACTTCTTCTTTATCTTAATCATTTATTTATTTTTATGAAGCCGTCATGCCAGTCATTCACTGTAAAAAATTGGCATCTATGGTTTCTAGAGAAGATATGTTCTAATATTAATGACTTTTATAGGATACTGTACATGATAAAGATGTGTTCTAATATTAATGACCTTTATAGGATACTGTACATGATAAAGATGTGTTCTAATATTAATGACTTTTATACGATATTGTACATGATAAAGATGTGTTCTAATATTAATGACTTTTATTGGATACTGTACATTATAAAGATTGTTCTAATATTAATGACTTTTATAGGATACTGTACATTATAAAGATTGTTCTAATATTAATGACTTGTATAGGATACTCTACATTATAAAATTTGTTTTGTTTCATTTTGTATAGCATATTGTGCATTTCATTGAATTATGATAATTTTAATTTTCGGGAGATCTTTCAAATATTTATAACACACTTAAGATAATTTGATTTTTGTGTTCTTAGATTTTCCTGTCATGTTCTTCCAAAGACTAAATTTTGTCACTTCCTTTCTCATTTTTCGCTCAAGTTCTTGGTTTTGTTTATGAACACCTCTCTAAGTTCGCGATTGCTTTCTAAGTTAATAGTCATGCTCTAAATCTCTTTTCTCTAAATCTTCTTTAATGTTTTGGTTTTACGTTCTTGGTCGTATTATTCAAAATCTCTTTAAGTTGTTATCTCATTAGGGGTTTTGTTTTTGTAAAAATCTGTCTAATTTTTAGTGGAATTTTTCTTTTTCTATTTCTAATGCCTCTCTAAGCTACTTGTCACATTTTGTTTTGTTTTAAGATCCCTCTAATAAGTCTATCTAACTTTTGGCCGCGTTTTACGAACACCAATCTACGTTACTGAATATGTTCTCAATTTGTTTTTCCATCACTTTAATGATTTGGTTATGTTCTTCGTTTTGTTTTATAAGTATCTCTATAAGTTAGTGGATTTTTTGGGAGGAGGCAAAATCCCTACATTTTTTCCATTTTTCTTATTTAAAATTTTTCCTAATTTCCAAACATTAGACAATATGTGAACTAAAACAGCATATCATTAAATTTACAAGGATTAATTTTCTGGCGCTTACTATAGTTTTGATTTCGCGTTAATTTAATTTAGTCCTTGCTAACATTGAATTCTAATTTTGACAGTCACACAATCTCGAATGCTTGTTTTATCCATACATTACATCATTCAGCACGCCTTACATCAAACTTTCACGAAAGTATAAAAAAAGAATATTTCCTTATAGGCAATTTGACATGTAATTATATTACTAAGACTTTTCAGAATGGTGAGAAATCTTCGTATTGCCATTGAATCATACTAATCACACAAGACACATTGCAAAGAAAAATAAAGTATTTTAAGTATTTATTGAGCTATTCAACCTTATATAGCGGGTGTTTCATTGTCATTTCCGCTGTTCGAGAAACTGATGGACACAATGTTGTGAAAAATCGCTGACTTGTTCAAAACTTCTTTAATACGCCTTTTGTAACCATAGTTATCATTTAATATGACCATGAATGTTATCATAACACACAATTGTCTGCCTATCTTTCTTGACGTCACAAGTTGTTGTGAAGAGATGGATGTACCAATTTTGATGAAATCAGATGGAGGAACCTAGGTGGACCCCTATAAGATCATGTTTAAATAGCTTAGCAAGCAGATAAATGGTTCTTGTTTGGTATTCATTGAATTTTTTTTACTACGTGAGATCGACGCCAAAAAAGTGACGTTTAGTGACGCAACTAACACGAGTAACTTTGGTGATCTCCTGTATTTCATAGATCTGAATGTCGAATAACGCATACGTATCCCGTTTCACCTTCCCTGTGGACCCATTGATATATACGAATACTGTCAGCTTCGTTACTAATCAGTTGAAGATTTTAGTAGTTGTATTAAAGATTGTCATTTCCGTGTACTCTAGCACTTAGAGTAATTAAAACTTCTTAGATTAAACTAAAGATTGGTGAATAATTTGTAAATATAGATGATTTTAATATGATTGAAATCTCAACGAGCTTCTGAAACAATAGCAATGTTGTTTTTTTCACATTAATTAAAGTACTTGATGAATAGGAAGATAATTCATCCTTATACTAGAAGTACAAACGTTGTAGCATGGAATAAACATCCTGAAACTAACAATCTAACTCTCCAACGAAACTGGTCGTTGCTAACAGTTGTTAACTTTGGAAACATTGATTGGAGTCATAGTTGGTTTTACATAATAAAATATTACACAAATATTTCAGTAAGAATGTCATGTTTGAATTTTAAACGGTAAACGAAACTATAATATATATATATACCCCCTCCCGATGTGGTATCCATTATGCGAAAACATTATACATTTTCAGTAAATATAGCAGAGTCGTTTTGTTAATCGATTATTGTCCAAAAGAAATTCTCTTAATTATTTATTTGCGTGATAGAAAGTGACTAATATTTCGTGAAACGTGTGTTTTTTCTGAGAGCCGTCCCATATGTAACAGAACATCAATGCTATTAAAAAATACATCATAAATCAAATCCTTAGGTAAGTTATTTTGTTAGAATGAAATATTCTACACTAGAATATAACTCACCTACATAATGGACACCTCCATCACGTCTCATGACTAATTTTCGAACATCGGCACTTTCTACAGGTTGCTCATCATAATACATTACTCTGGAATCGGCGACGCTTCTCGACCGTCCGGCTGCGCGCCATCTAGCGGGAAGCGTTGAACCTTGTTCTGGACTCGATTTTACCTGAGTCTCACGGTGAGCACGTCTCAAAGCATCACGTGGTATTCTCCCACCTCCCACTTCGTTTGAACGACTTGTTAGTACCCCATTTCCATCACCACAACCATTATTATCTCCACCTCGATGATTGGAATTTTGCTGAGCACTCAACCTTTTTAACTCCGCCGAATCTACTGAACGGATGGACTGAAGTCCTTCTCTAGTTGCATGTTTTCCCTTGTATTCCTCTTGAGACGCAGACTTCTTCATGCCCTTTCCGAAGTTAGACGGAGTTGATCGTTCGTGTTCTTCTCGTTGAGCATTTTTTTTATTCTCCTCAGATCGAGCTCCAGATGGCATGCTGATGCTTCGATGCATGGTGAATCTCTTGATGCTAAAAGGCATCTTTAGTCAACCTGATGAAAAGTTTCCAGCACTTACGATAGATCAATTCTGCAGAAAATAGATAAATCTTTCGATGTATTTAACAGATATAAAATTGATCTATTATTTCTCAACTATTGTTCATACTGAGACTAAAAAACACAAAAACTGACGATTTTTGACATAATGAAAGGTACAATATTTATTATTATTACAGCCGACTAGTTTCGGTAAATACAGTTACCAACACAACTGTATTACCAAAACTAGTCGATTTACCGAAACTAGTCGGCTGTAAGTAATAATAAATGTTTTACCTTTCATTGTGCAAAAAATCGTCGGTTATTGTGTTTAGTTTTGTTTTTTACTTTTAATATAGTAGCACAATGTGCCTGAAAAGAAATTATTGTTAGTATTTTCTTAATTTCCTTTAGATATGTTACAAATAATTATTATATGCGTTCTTGCGTTGTTGATTTTGGATTTAGCTTGAACAACATTTCAAACAAATAGAGCAGCGATGCCAAAAACATTATTATTCGTTCATTATATCGAATAAAAATATTTTGTCAAACAAATATGTTCTATAAGAATTAGTGTTATTATTATCTGTTGAACGTGCCATCTGTCCATCAAACTGGCTAGCAGAATAACGTTTCGGTACAATTGCGCGATCCTTCATCGTGTTGAGCTGATACCTTGGATGAAGAAGCGTGCAAGCCAACTAACTCTATCTACAGATTGTTTGATTATCTGAATCATCTGTTGCATTCTACCTATCAAAACACTGCCCTTAAATTGTTAGTAATATCCCAGCTACGCACAACAGCGAAACCTCTGATCGCTATTTATCTAAAAGTTGCTTTATTTTTTCTCCATTCAAACAGACCGAATTTACTAGTACCGCGAGGGTAAAAAGACCGAATTTACTAATACCATGAGCGTAAGTATATTGATTAACTTGACACTCTCAAGATTGTCACTTATAAACACTATAAACTGAAAGCAGGAAAGCTAAAGACAAAACAAGTGCTACAGATTCCCTTCAGGTGCTGTTCGAGCACAACTGAACTCCAGAACTAATACAGCTGCGTGTTCGGTTTTTCTCTACTTCCTCAATAACATGGCCGTTTACCATAAAAATGAGCACTAGCATGTAACGTGTAATCTGGTTGTGGGCGTATACGTGCTAAGAACAATTCTCCTTTTACAGGAAACTAAGTAAAGGGGAACATCGAAACTTAAGAGTAACGATCTCAAAATGAACACCCTACACGTTAACTGCCAGATATATTGTCAAAAGATGCTTGAAAATGTCTGAAAGTTTTTCAACGGTAAAGTTTATTGTAAGAATAACATAACGTATCAAGAAAATATATTATTATAGAAATTAATAAAATGATTGCGAAGTCTTTATCCGATCGCAACCATTTCAATTGCAAGAACATCAAGTTATGTAAAGATAGAGATCGTTAGAATGAAGATGCAACATGTGAAAACAAAACAATTAAAACGGTGCATAATTGCTAATTTACTTAGCCTTTTTTTACCATTCTCCAAACACCCAAGCTTCAGTTCAATACCTATAATTTGTGACTGACATGATTTTATATACCAATTATGGTTTCGCATGACAGCATCATCAACTGTTTGCGATTTTTAAAAATAAGCATGTGTCAGTTGATTCGTGAATGCATGTACATTGTTTATTTTTATAAAACAATACTAGTTTTTGCTGCTATGGGATAATTATTAAAGGATAGTGAAAACTAACACTACAGTATCCTTATATATATATAGATATAAGAGACTTGGCCTGGCCTAGTGGTTAGTGTACTCTACTCGCAAGCTGTAGAATGCGGGTTCGACTCCCATCACCAAACAGGAGCCTTTCACCTTTCAGCCGTGGAGGTGTCATAATGTGACGGTCAATCCCACTATCAAAGTGGTGTTGAATAGCTGCCTTTCCTCTAGTCTATTACTTCAAACTTAGGGATGGCAAGTGCGTTAACACTTGAGTAGCTTTGATAAAAAGAAACAATTTACATATAGTGCTTTACCATACTCGGTCTAATGTACATAAATTCAAAATGAGGGTCAAATTATTATATAGTTTACTGTGACATTCAAAATTTTTGTATAGAAACTACACTGTTTAAATGGAACAATATGTGTTAAATCAGAATTTTTTCAACACGAGTTCTAGACAGTGATTTAGATTTATCAAATATTCTATCTGAATATCAAATACTTGAAAGTTTCGTCTCTTAAGATTTTTCTTCAATCTTTTACAAGCTCTCATATAGTGTGTGGTATAAATATAATACACATATTAATCGTTTAATCTGAGAAAAATATCAACTCGTTTTGAGAGAGGCTCTTAATTCAATTTTTACATGACATTTAATGTCTTCATGTTTTGGGTAAGTAATAAAACATTAAAACAAGCATTGTTATTTTTAACCAGCATTCATAGTATTCTGTTGTCAACGTCGAAGTTAACACCCTTTATTGTTCAATGACATTTCCTGAACATGTACGGTGGTTTGAGATGTCTTTTACTCACGTAGGGTAGTTGTATTTATATAAGAATTTCAAAAATATGCAGCATTGATTATAATAATTTATTCCTGTAAATTATTCGGCCGACAAGCTGTTTAAAATATTAAAAAATAATGTGAAGCCCAATCTGTCAATGATAGACCTATATGATAGAGTGGGCTTCACATTTATTTATTTATTTTTAGTAACACGCTCACGTTCGAAACAAGTCTTGTGTAAACATCACAGTGTGTGAGACACAAATTTTATGTTTATAAGCTAACAGTTAGCTATATTGTTGTCTTTTTTAATTTGGTCGTCTTCTGGATGTTGAACTACACCTAATATTCTAGCTTGGTCGTCTTCTGGATGTTGAACTACACCTAATATTCTAATTTGGTCGTCTACTGGATATTGAACTACACCTAATATTCTAATTTGGTCGTCTACTGGATATTGAACTACACCTAATAACTTAACAAAAAGAACGATTTTTATTCCGTGTAAATTGGGCAGACACGGTAACATTATGCTTTTTTTTAAATCGGGTTTCGATTCCTACGGTGGGCAGAGAAGAGCTCGCGCGTTGTGTAGCTTTATGTTTAATAACAAACAAATATACAAACAACAAGTTTTATAAAAGCAGTTAGCTACACAAGGATGACATATATACCTCCCTGACATATAGACTTAAACTAAGATTCTCTGACGAACTTTATCACAGGTGAAAAAGAGTAACGGAGCCTTGTCAAAACATTCTAGAAAACGGAACCCTTTAGCGTTTGATGAAAGACGAGAACCTTCGCAGCGCAACGCTTTTATTGAAAGAAAATGAAAGAATCAATGTTTAGGCCACGAGAAACTGGTACGGTACCCTACACTATTGAGAGACAGCAATAACGTATTTTCATAGGAGAGACACAGTAAAATATTAGTTACACACCTGATTTTATTTTACAGTTAGTAAACTGTAAAACATAAACGCATTTTTTTAGGATTATTTCACTGTGTTTGTTTGTTTGTAGTTAAGCACAGAGCTACACAATACTCTGCCTACCACGGGTATCGAAACCAGGTTTCTAGCGTTGTAAATCTGCAGACATGCCGCTGTGTCACTGGGAGACTATTTCACTGTGACTACAGCTTATTTATGGTGTAACTAGCAGCACTGTTGCCAGTGTTTCTACCATTAAAATACAATAAAATGTTTAATGGTCTTATTTATGCTCACATCACGCATGTGATCAATATAAGCATATAAAAGATAGTAATGTTTATAGTTTGAAAACAAAACAGTCACAAGCGTTTGACTAATGACAACACCACTGTTACGATAGTTGAAATTTCCATTCTGAACATTGATGATCAAAAACACCTGGAAAATGATCAATTTGCCCCCAACATACGGAAAATCAGTAAGATAAAGTGAGGCTCTAAAGCTTTTCTCTATGATATATTGAAGCGAATAAATAGCAAAGATGGTAATAATACTGAACGAAGAAGATGAGAATATAAGGTCTTTCTCGCTTGATACTTCTCGTTAAATCAAATGTATGATCGGACTTTACAGTATGTACAGTGATAGAAAATATTGTGATTAAAACATTATTAATCCTAAGAATCAAAGGTTGAGTGAAAATTTTTAAATATTCTCATAACTACAAAATCTAAAGTACAATATTCTTACTTTTCATGTTAACAACAGATTCCCACAATGAGAGAGAAAGAAAACATATTTTCAAGCACTTTCAACATCTTCCTTAACATAGTAAGAACATTTGAAAATTTTCAGAGATCTATGACGTTATTTGTGCTTCTTTATAACTTAAAAATGTATATCACACCTCTATCAAAATCAAATAAAAAATGTATTTAGTTTAAGGACTCAAAAAAAATCACATAAAAATTGGAGGACGCTGGAGAGTAAAGATGACTGAAAGCTAAGTTCTCAAATTATTTTGTTTATTTTTTTTATTTACAGCTCAATTAATAATCTTCTAATTCCTTACAATTATTCCAAATAATTTTGAAATATATAATAGTTATCTTGGATCAATTTACTTAGATCGTGTAATGTTGCACAAAATTATTAATATTTTATAAATTAGTCTTATATTTGTTAGGCTTTTTGCTATATTGTCCAGCAGATAGAAAATTCTGGACCTATTCGTTAACTATTAAGACATTTACTTCTGAGAAGACGACAAAATGGAATAACAGTGTTAAGTTTGATTAGTGTTGAGCAAAATAATATCTAACTTCACTATCTTGAAGTTTGTATCACGTTATTGAATTAGTTTGAATTTAGCTAAGCAAAAGTTATATGCGCTAGCCGTTTCTAATTTTAAAGTGATAGACTAAAGGAAAGGCAGTTAGTCAACACCACCCACCGCCAACTCTTGGATTACTAGTTACCAACGAATAGTGGGATTGACTATAACACCCCCATCCCTACGGCTGAAAAAAGGCGAGCATGTTCGGATACGAGGCTCGAGCCCGAGATCCCCAGATTGCGAGTCCAGCACCCT